GACTGTTAATCTTTTAAGTTTCCTTATTATTTTTTTTCTTTTTTTCAGTTTTTCTATTTCCTTTAGAAATCTAGTTTTCTGCTCTGCAAAAGAGTGGAATCATCTTGGGAATTTAAAAGTACACATGGCGGCAGGGTGCAGTGGCTCATGAGTATAATCCCAGCACTTGGAGAGGCCGAGGTTGGGAGTTCGAGACCAGCCTGGTCAACGTGGGAAAACCCTTTTTTTGAGACAGAGTCTTGTTCTGTCCCCCAGGCTGGAGTGCAGTGGTGCAATCTACTCATTGCAACTTCCATCTCCTGGGTTCAGGTGATTCTCCTGCCTTAGCCTCCCAACTACCTGGGATTACAGGCCTACACCACGACGTCGGCTAATTTTTTTTCTTTCGTATTTTTATAAGAGTCAGAGTTTCACCGTGTTGGGCAGGTTGATCTCAAACTCCTGACCTTGTGATCTGCCCGCCTCAGCCTACCAAAGTGCTGGGATTACAGGCATGAGCCACTGTGCCTGCCTAAAAATACAAAAATTACTTGGATATGGTGGTGTGCACCCTGTAATCCCAGCTACTCCAGAGGCTAAGGCCAGAGAATTGCTTGAACCTGGCAGGCAGAGGTTGCAGTGAGCTGAGAGCACACCACTGTACTCCCAAGTACACTGTACTCCCAAGCAACATTCTGTTGCTTGGGCAACAGAATGACACTCTGTCTCAAAAAAAAAAAAAAAATGAAAAAGCAAAATACACATGCCTACCCCCAGTCTCCCAAAAATGGTGGGATCCGTCTGGGGCAGGCCTGGGCCTCAGTATCTGTGAAAGTTCCCTGGGAGATTCCAGAGTAGGCCAGGGACAGGGACCACAGTGCTGGGACCACAAAGCCCTGCTCATGTCGACCTGTGCAGTGATGAGGGGACTTCAGAACTCCACCAGGCCTCTCTCAGCCTTTAGAGAGGACCTTTCAGCTTCCTGTTTAAACAGATTAACCTGTTTTCTAGAATTAAGCTCCAGGAGGGCAGGGTTTTTTTTCCCCTGCTAGTTCAGGGTCTGGCCAGGACAGTTTCTGCCACATAATTGGGCACTGAATGGAAATTGAATGAATTAATGAATGTTATCAGCCACTTAAATTTGTTTCCTTCCTGTCTTCAGAAATGAGAAGTTTTTACTTTTTGGGGTTTTTTTTTTTTTTTTAAGATGGAGTTTTCACTCTTGTTGCCCAGGCTAGAGTTCAATGGCACAATCTTAGCTCACTGCAACCTCTGCCTCTCCACTTCAAGCGATTCTCCTGCTGCAGCCTCCAGAGTAGCTGCGTTTATAGGCACACTTCCATGTCCAGCTAATTTTTGTATTGTTATTTGAAAAATATAAACTTTTCTGGCCTAGCTACCAGAAAGAGCAACAAAGGTTTATTGTAATGTATTTTACACTTTTTCTCGTTTGAAGATATTGAGAGTCAGGACTGGAACCTTGATACCTTGGGGCATGCACTGTTTCATGAATCTTAAATTTTTTAAAAATAGAAAAAAGCATTCTTGGTAAGATGAGAGAGTCGATGTAGAGAATCAAAATTTCTATTTTGTCAATATTTATTTCAGTGTAGCATGGAAAAAGTAGCTACCACATGGGTTATTGAAGACCCAAACACCTTACCGCTACATCATGTTACATGGTTCACAAATAGGTCATTTTCGCAGTTTAGAGTTAGGGAGGGTACGTGTGTGCATGCGTGCGTGCGCATGTGTGTGTGTGTGTGTGTTAGGAGTTTACCAGCAACTGCTTAATTACAGCATAGAACAGTCCTCTTAGGCTGAGTGCAACGGCTCATGCCTGTACTCCCAGCACTTTGGGAAGCCAAGGCAGGTGAATCGCCCGAGCCCAGAAGTTTGAGACCAGCCTAGGCAACACAGTGAAACCCGTCTCTGTAAAAACTTAGCTGGGCTTGGTGGTGCAGACCTGTAATCCCAGCTACTGGGAGGGCTGAAGTAGGAGGGTCACCTGAGCGCAGGATGTTGAGGCTGCGGTGAGCTGCGACTGTATCACTGCACTGCAGCTTGGGCCACAGAGAGAGCCTGTTTCGGAAAAAAACAAGCCTCTTAGTTGAATGGGAAGAGCTACTTGCATATAGGTGGCAGCAAGTTGTTGATGGAAGTTGGATCTCTGCAGAAGCAGTAGAGGCAGAGAAACTGCTGTCGTGTCAACACTAACAAATCATCTTGTTTTCTTTTGCCAGGCGGCCTTCTGATCTGTTTACCACGTGAGCAAGCAGCTCGGTTCTGTGCAGAGATAAAGTCCCCCAAATATGGTGAAGGCCACCAAGCATGGATTATTGGGATTGTAGAGAAGGGCAACCGCACAGCCAGAATCATAGACAAACCCCGGATCATCGAGGTCGCACCGCAAGTGGCCACTCAAAATGTGAATCCCACACCGGGGGCCACTTCTTAATCTAGACAGAAATAGCTGTTTGGTTTTGTTTTTAAATAGCTCTATTTCCTTTATCATCACTTCAATTAAAGACTATAAACAACAAAAATCTCATTGTGTCTACACATCGGGTGACCTTAGGTTGGTTTGTAAGTGGATACAATTAATAAAATAAAATCCATTGCCTTTTCTCCCTGTTACATTAACTGAAGATGCACCTAATCTTGAGGCAGCTTCTGAGTTGAGAATTATATTGTTATCCAATACTGTTGATTCATTTTGAATCTTTAGACACTTATCTCTTGCCGCATAGGCTCTTTTTAAAGGTGCTTTCACATAGCACAGACATTACCAATAGTCATGTCAGATAGCAGTTGATGTCTTTTCATTTTGTGTATATTTATCATATAAGTCCGATTTTTTTTTAAGTGTCTTGAATGGTTTTCTGGAGAGACGGCATTGGTAAGTGGCACATGACGGTATACCAGTCGTAAGAGGGTTGCATGATTCCCTTGAGTCTTTGGTTTGGAAAGCCTAGTCTTGTCTCTCAAGAGCATCTTGGACCCAGGACATTCTCCAGTAGTGCATTCAGTTCAACACAGCAAGTGCTTCACTGCATGGAAAACACTTTGAAGACAAAAAAGAAATCTTGTTTCTTTTTTTGTAGCCTTCCTGATATTTACAGTAATACCATTAACTGTTTTCTTTATCGATAGCAAAAAAGGATACTTTTTGCAATGTAATTAGATGTTCTATAGTGCTACAAGGAATTGCCTTCCAAAAGGAGGTTCGTGTATGATACCCATTTACAATTCAATATATAATTACGCAAATAATTTTTAAATATGATCAATAATAAAGACTGTTCTGTGGATGGTAGTGTTTAATACATTTTATATTTTGTATAGTGATTTCAGGCCTTTTGTTTTCTTAAGATCAGCAGCTACTTAGCCTAATTCTTAGCATTATTTTGTCCTTTGCGCCAGTACTTTTTTGTGCACGCTTTTTGTGGTCTGTGTTAAAAACCTGCATTGCCAACATTGCAGCTCGAACTTAAACTTGTTATTCAAATAAATATTTAATTTTTTAAATTGCTCTTGTATAATCAGATGCCCCTTTTAGTATTATTTTAGAAGCATTAGAGGGTTTGCCTAAAGTACAATTTATTGGGAAAAACTAGATTTTAGTTTTATAAAACTTCTAAGTCTTTCATGGGACCTATATTTTCTTGAATTGAATTTTGTAGTTCTAGAATAAATAGGCAATCTAAAAAGGTGTTATCTGTGTTTCATAAAGAGGAGGCTTCCTTATATTTTAACCTACTAAGCGATGAGGAGGGATTCCTGTCACTAAGCACAAGGGCGCTGGACCCTCAAGTGCCCGTCTTCATCTGAGAAAAAGCAGCACATCCTGCACGTTTCTGGTGCTTCCTGCTCACAGGCACCAAAGCTGCACTTGTAAACTGACTTCTTGCCAAAGGAAATGACCTCTGGGAAGATGAAGCTCCTGGAATAGGCTGTATCTGGGACACGCCCTCCTCCAGGAACCAGCGGGCAGCCTTTATGCATGCACACCTGGACCTCCAGCCATAAGCATGGTGTGCAGTCTGGAAGAACCTGCTACGGAACTGCAATTGACTGGACATTTTAAAGGAATTGATACAGATGTTGGTCCTCAAAAGCTACAAACCAGTGGTCTGCAAAATAAAATCTGTTGGAAACCTCTGAGTAAGATAAACCTACTGTTGAGCTTTTTTTAAAAGTCAATAATGACTAAATCTGAACTTCAGTGTAGCCTATGCCGTGAGTGCTGGGTGTTTTCCTCAGTGGCAGGCCTATGGACAGGAAGGGAGCTAAGCAGAGTATGCACCTAAGGAAATAATCTCTGAAGATTGGTATTTATAAAGAGAAGATGTTGGGTACTTAGAGATCCGTGTAAGTCATGATCCCAAGAGGAAGAATTTGTAACGCAGTGTTGGCGGGGCATGGTGGCTCACACCTGTAATCTCAGCACTTTGGGAGGCTGAGGCGGGCAGATCACCAGAGGTCTGGAATTCAAGACAAGCCTGGCCAACATGGTGAAACCCCATCTCTACTAAAAATACAAAAATTAGCCAGGTTTGATGGTGCATATCTGTAATCCCAGCTACTGGGGAGGCTGAGGAACAAGAATCTCTTGAACCCGGTAGACTGAGGTTGCAGTGAGCCGAGATTGTACCACTGCACTCCAGCCTGGGGTACAGAGACTCAGTCTCAAAAAACAGTCTAATAAACCAAACTCAGTCAAGCTCTTTTTGAGGCTCAGTCTCAAAAAACAAAAGGAGACAGTATTGCTTAGAGGCCTGATCTACCTGTGTTAGAATCACCGGGGGTGTTAGAAGGCAACATTCCTGCCTCCTGATTCTCCAGACTAAGAATCAGAATTTGTTGGGTGTAGGACTAGGGAATGTCTTAAATAAGGACCCTGTGAGGCTATGCCCACAAAAGTTTGAGAACCACTGATCTCAAAAGGAATATTACAGAGGAAGGCAAGGAAAGCAATACGACCTGGTTTTGTACTTTTTGTTTTGTTTTGTTTTTTTGAGACATCGTCTGGCTCTGTCACCCAGGCTGGAGTGCTGTGGCATGACCTCGGCTCACTGCGACCTCCACCTCCAGGTCCAAGTGATTCTCCTGCCTCAGTAGCTGGGATTACAGGCGCACCACCAAGCCTGGCTAATTTGTATTTGTAGTAGGGACCAGGTTTCACTAGGTAGGTCTTGAACTGATCTCAAACGATCCACCCGCCTCGGCCCCCCAAAGTGCTGGGATTACAGGTGTAAGCCACCATGCCTAGCCTTTTGCAACATATTTTGCAGGAATTTTTTCCTCTTGACAATTCTGTTTACTTTCCACATCTGCGCTATGGCCCAGCAAGGCAGGGGAAAGACCTGTATTTTATTTTATTTTTCTATTCCTCAGTAAGAAGGGACCTATATTTTGAAAGCTCCATGAATACTCAGATGATTGTCATTGAATATTGGCATTCTTGGCAAAATCTAGGTAGAACATTTTAAAAGTCAGTGGACAGGCCAGACACGGTGGCTCATGTCTATAATCCTATCCCTTTGGGAAGGCGAGACAGGAGGATCACTTGAGCACAGGAGTTCGAGACCAACCTAAGCAACATAGTGGGACCTCGTCTCTCCAAAAAAATAAAAAGTCAATGGACAATAGGTAGACAATTTTACATTCTGGTATCCCGTTAAAACTTTATATTGAAGTGTATTTATCTTGGTATACTGATTTGTTTCCTGTAAATCCTATAGTATAGTTGCATCCAAAAATACAGTCTATTAGCATAGAATTAGTGATTACAATCTGAGGCAGCTGAATCACGGTGGAGTTGGTCATTCAGGCATTAGGAATCTGTGAGGCAGTATCAAAGCTGCTTATTGCACAGGCTGTGTTGAGGTATTCATTGTGTTTCAGTCCAAGAAAAATTGAAATATTGTATAAGCAATATGTACTTTTTGGCTCAGTTTTTTAAAATAGTAGATCATAGTCTTCCAAGTTCTGCATGCTTTATAATGAGTAAATGTGACTGTTTTAAATTATTCTGTTTATAGATTAATGAGCCAGCCATTTTCAGTCTGAATTTAGCATTCTCTTTAAGAGTTAAATCTGAGTTCTGAATCTTAGTTTTATTGCACAGAGACCAGAATAGGTCTCCCAAAGTGCTGGGGTTACAGGTGTGAGCCACCGTGCCCAGCCTAATATGATTTTTCACTCTGTTTCCCAGGTGAAAGTGCAGTGGTGTGATAACGGCTCACTGTAGCCTCCAATTGCTGGGCTCAAGTGATCCTCCCACCTCAGCCTCCTCAGTACCTGGGACTACAGGCACATTGACTACAGGCACACCACCATCATGTCTGGCTAGTTTTTTAGGTTTTTGTTTTTTGTTTTTTTTTCCATACAGACGGGGTCTTGCTGTTTCCCAGGCTGGCCTCAAACTCCTGGCTTCAAGAGATCCTCCCATCTTGGCCTCCCAAAGTGCTGGGATGTGTGTGTGTGTGTGTGAGTGTGGGTGTGTATGATTTTTTTTCCCCTGTTTCCTTCCTGCCTGCCTTCCTTCGCCATAACATACGTTAGCCCTGTCTCTTCCTGCACCTGCTGCCCTGTCTCCTGGCCTGTGTTGTTAGATCCTGGACATGGCACTGCCTTTCCCTCTGCTCATATGGACCATTACCGTACCCCTCCTATGTTTCTCTGTTTCTTTTTTTTCTTTTCTTTGAGATGGAGTCTCGCACTGTGGCCAGGGGCTGGAGTGCAATCTCAGTTTACTGCAACCTCCGCCTCCCAGTTCAAGCGATTCTCCTGCCTCGGGCTCTGGAATAGCTGGGATTACAGGTGCCCACCACCATGCTTGGCTAATTTTTTGTACTTTTAGTAGAGACAGGGTTTCACTATGTTGGCCAGGCTGGTCTCGAACTACTGACCGCATGATCTGTCCACTTCAGCCTCCCAAAGTGCTGGGGTTACAGGCATGAGCCACCACGCCTGGCTGATCTCTGTTTCTTTTAGACAGTTCTGTACAAATTAGTACTCAATAATTGTATAGAGGTTTGCTGATTGATTTGTGTTTATTTCATGCTAATTTATCCTGGGCCTCTAGATATTTCTCAATCCGAATAATTCCATAAGTGATCATTTTATTCCTTCCTCTTCTCCCAGATTTGCACACGTATTTTTTAGTTTCTAATTAATGTTGGAAGATTAGATTTTTTTTGCACCACACACCTCCGTCCTTCAGACTTGTTTTCATTATGGCTGACATCAGAAATGGGCTTGGAGAAAAGGAAGAGATCCTCTCACTTCAGCCTCCTGAATAGCTGGGACTACAGGTGCGCACCACCACACCTGGCTACTTTTTAAACTCTGCGGAGATGGGGTCTTGCTATGTTGCCCAGGCTGATTTTGAACTCCTGGCCTGAAGTGATCCTCCTGCCTTGGCCTCTGAAAGTGCTGGGATTACAGGTGTGAGCCGCCACATCCTAAATGAACTTTAAACTTGTAACCAAATGACCTGACCTACAGTCATAACTATTCACAGAATTTTTGAATCTGGAGTTGATTACAGTTAATTTTCATTCATATAATGATATTTTCTTAAGCATATACGATGCTTGAACGACTTTTTAAATTTTTTTTTTTTTTTTTTTTTTTCTTTTATTTTTTTTTTTTTTTTTTTTTTTTTTTGAGGCGGACTTTCGCTCTTGTTAACCAGGCTGGAGTGCAATGGCGCTGTCTCGGTTCACCGCAACCTCCGCCTCCCGGGTTCAGGCAATTCTCCTGCCTCAGCCTCCTGAGCAGCTGGGATTACAGGCACACACCACCATGCCCAGCTAATGTTTTGTATTTTTAGTAGAGACGGGGTTTCACCATGTTGACCAG